CTCCCTTAAAGCAAACCTGACCATACTCCAAGTCACGCAGTTTCGACCAAATATGGAAAACATTATTTACCCCACTTTTAACATTAAGTTCTAAGAACAGATAGCTCCTGAAAGGACCAAAACACACATTCAGTATCAAAAACTCAAATCTCCTTTACAGTCAAAATTACAACTGATAAAGTAAATGTAAGAGGGATAATATATATAACACAGATTCCTATGTGGCTTAAGTGATTTTAAGACAGTAGAATACAGGTTTTCATGTGAGTTAAATGGTTTAAGACAGATGGGAGGACATTATGTATGACAAAAGATCCAACCATCCAAAAACTTCAAGAACCTTTCTAGATGTAGAAAATGACTGAAATAATGAGAAATGATTAACAGTTAGTTGTTCAGAAGACAGCAGAACTGGGCATGAATAGCAAAATTATGAGACTGGTTCTGGCCAGAGATTTTAAGATGAATAAAGTATGTATGCAACTGGTACGTAGAACCTTGTGATGAGACTTTGGTTTTACTTGAGTCTTCAGTGGAAAAGACCAATCCCCAAAATACGAGGGTGTTTCAAAAAGTAACAGCAAATTGACAATATTTCAAGAAACGAATACACCAGGCATTTCAAACTCCCGCACAGGGAAGATACATTCTTAGAGAAGGTTTTGACACTGCCCAATAAATGGTGTGGCGTACTTAATTGGAAGGGATGCATATACGAAATGGCGGCGCACTTAGCTGTTTGCACCGTAGAGGTGCAGCGAGCAATCATCAGATTTTTGTGGTTGGAGGGTTTGAAACCTCGTGAAATTCATAAAAGAATGCTGCATTGGCGAGAGAAGAGTGTACGAATGGGTAGATGCGTTTAAAAATGGGCGAACGTCAATCTGTGATGACCAACGCTCCGGTCGTCCATGATAACGCACGCCCTCACACCATTCAGAGATTGAGATTTCAGATCTTTCAGCCCTGACCTTGCTCCCTCTGATTATCATATGTTTGGACCCCTTAAGGACGCTTTGATTTGGGAATGATGACGAGGTCAAAGAAGCAGTGCATTCCTGGCTGAAGGCACAACCAAAAACATTTTTTTCTGATGGAATAAAGAAGTTGGTGCAACGGTGTGAGAAGTGTATTGAAAAGGAGGGTGATTATGTAGAAAAATGACATATCATTTGTATCTCTAATTAAATTATATATCTCAAAATATTTAATTTGCTGTTACTTTTTGAAACACCCTCGTATAAAAATGTGCAAATATCAAAACCATGCTCATCTGCTTTCCTGTACATCATAGGAATTATCCATTATGAATATGTTCCTCCAAAACAGTGAAACAAACATTCTACCACCAAGTTCTAAAATGTCTGAGACAGCATATTCATTGAAAACATCAAACCTTTGTTGAGATATAACAATGTGAATTTTAGACCAAAAAAGGAATGTTGAAACATCCAATACTCACCTGACTTGATCCTGTATGACTTTTTGTTTCCAAAACTAAAATACTGTTTGAAATGGTCTAATTTGAACAACTTGACAACATTCAGAGCAGAATGGTGATTTTACAAAAAAAGATATTTGGAATTTATTTCCAGCTGAGTTGTAGGCAGAAATATTGTAATGTGTACATAAAAACAGAAGGTAAGTAACTGTTTTTAAAGAATCAGTTCAGTATTTTTCCAGAACTCATGTGTGAATATGTATTTCATCAAGATCCATAATTTTTTCATATGGAAGCCACTGTTATGACAGGGAATTTTATAGTTTTGGCATGTCACTCTTTAAACTGCTCATTAGCACAACTCACACAGCATTAATCCTGAGGATTTAACAGGGCAGTGTTTGCTCTCATTTAAGCATAAATGACGAGCAGTATTTGTGACTTACAATGTTTATTGAACATGAAAATATTCGCTCACTTAAAACAAAACATCAACACACTGTCACTGAAATAAAATTACATATTAGAAGTATAAATGTTATGACTTTTAACATCATTCAAATTAGTAAGAGTCAAAAGTTAAGATGTAAATGTGACAAAAGATGCTACCAGGCTTCCATTTTTTGTAATTTACAAAAGTATTCAAGAAAACAAATCACCTTCCCCAATACAGCAAATCTGTCAAATTCTAGAAAAATAATTGTGTAGCAAGTATTAGATAGACTTTCAATTTCAAAATGACAAATGGGGATTTCTACTGATCTTTCTGAAGTGATAGCTTAATTGCAATGATGTCAGCACTGTAACTATGACAGACTAAAATTATGACAATCAGAAATATGTTTCTCCATGGTGAAATACCAAACCAACAACAGCAAAGTCCATTAAACACTGCACTGAAACATATAATCTATTGACTTTCTAAACTCATTGCAACCAAATGTACATTTTATTTTGAAAGCTTTGAAACTAGCAGCTTAAAACATAATTTACAGTATCACAGGACCATAATTTACAACTCTAGAAATATGTGAACATTAAATGAATCACTGCATATGAATTATTCCCAAATTTATCACCTTATAGAAACCCCTAATTTTACACATAGTATTTTTCCTATAACAGATTCTTGAATGTCAATAGCTTTCTGTTTAGACAAAGCTTTGTCAAAAGACTGGTAAGTAATCCTATAGCAATGACTTCTCCAGCCATCAGGAGATTCATACAGGTTCAAAAATTCTACATTAGTTATTATATCAGCAGCTATTTGCCATAATATGCTGTAGAACTTTACTAATGAAAAGGCAGGACTTTCAGTAAAACATATATCTAATGTATAGGCCAATGATTCAAAACAAGCAAGTCTTAAAAATGGAATATTCCCATCAAACACAACACAAGACTCTTGAGCCCATAACTGTCTCCAATTTTTAATGTCAAACAATAATTCTGAAAGGTGATCGAGATGTACCACACTCACTGACACACAATTTGATTTCCCCCTACTTGTTACAGTCAGGGAAAATTCTTGTGCCACCTTTAGAGTTATATCTGATGAAGTACAATTTTTTATAAGTATGTTCTTGCCAGAAATAAATCTGTGACCAAACTCTGATACATTTTCAAAATGAGATACTGACAAATGCCTAACATCTTTCTTAAATGTCTGAAGCATTCTCCTTATATATTGTTCACATACACCAGATCCATATCCCAACAATAAAACATGGCACGACAATGGTGGGCAAGAAAAATCAGTCCCTACATCATTGAAAACTAATCCTGGGAAGATAATAATTTCATCAGTAGCCTGATTCCACAACTTTAGTACATCATCCAGAACATCAAGGAGAGAGTGTCGCAATGAACACTTAGATTCTTGTTCCTCAAAGTAACACACTGGACCACCAGTTGGTAGTTTAGTGTGCAGTGGCATATCAGTATCTGAAACATGTCTCACTTTAGCACAAATAGTCTCAACAAAAGTCTTAAACTCCTTATTCAGATAATACATGGCAGATCCTTCCATCACAAAAGGATTCTTCCTGTATTTCATACCATAAACACTTCTACATATTATATTTCCAAATTTTGTTTGCAATGTCTGATCTTCCAGATGATGTAATAGTATCTCCACTTCTGTACTGGGATAGAGAGATTCTCGTTTGCTGAAAATGTGCACTAGAGCACCATCTGTGTGAAATGCTGAGTCTCCTCCTCTGTACCCAACACTTGTATACTTTGGAAATATGTCACTTCTAAATTGCTCCACAGATACCAGAACAAAATCTCCTTGTGCAGCCATCTCAACAACTTTCCATGTATCATCCCACCGACGTACCAGTTTATCAACTCTGGTGCCTCCTTGCCCCTTACACAGTGATACCAATATTCTTCCATCCAATGTAACCATTTCTTTAGCGCTTTGAAAATATCCCTTTAGGAGTGCTCTGTTTAGGTGTATTTTCATTTTCCCTTTAATATGAGGGAAATTGAATATGATCTTTGAAAACCTTTCATTTTTAAGAACAGGATGATTATCCAATTTTGTTGCATCTACATCCAATAGCACTCGAACTCCTGCAAGAAATTTTGTGTATCATTCATACAGTCAACTCAAATAAAATGCACAGCCATTACTACTGTACTCTTGATGGAGTTTTTATACGAAATAATGGCTACCTTTAGTTAGACTATCTGCTTAATGCCAATGCTTCACCCTGTCAGCCCTACCTGATCTATACATAGTCAGTAAACTCAACAAAATAAAATGTATACTGTATAAGCATGTCTCAGTTGCATATTTTTCTCATGTGTGACAATGAAAGTCATCCTTATTGTCATAAAAGTTAACTGCACAAATAGGAATCATGTACAGGTCTGTCTTGTTATAAATTGCATAAAATGAAAGCCTGGGAAGTATTTAACAGTTGCTACTGATATATAGCAGATAACAAGAGTATATATGACAATGAATGAAAACAATATTGGATTGGCCTATTGTTGGAATGTGGCCATCTCATACAGCACTTACCTTTCTGTTTTAAATATGTAATATTCTCTGCTGTTGATTTAAGCAGAATATTAGAGCCTAGGCATGATGCTGTTATTGTTATTGGAAGATTTAAATCCACTAAACCAACAGCAAAGGAAAAGTTGCCTTCTCCTACGAGCAGTACAGAGTCCCCTATCAAAAATACATCACGATGCATATTCCTTTTAGCTTATTTTAACTTCTGAAAGTAAACAAAATTATCAATCTCTTTTACAATAAATCCAGAATTATGTACTGTCATATGTTTTTACCCCACTATTTCTGTCCTAATTTCATTATCTGTTGATGTACTACCTAGTAAAACATGTACTTATGTCCACCAATATAATCACTGTCGTCGTTCTTCCCACTGCAAACTGATCACGATTAATTCACAGTTTTGTGACAAATTACATATTTTGTGCGACGCTTCTTGGTTAATAAAAAATACAAATTGGGAGTAAATTTGAAATCAATTAGTCACTTATTCGAGAATAACAAGTTACATTAAGCAAACGATCATCAGCAAAAAAAATTATGAACGATAATATAAGTTGGTACTCCCAGCACTCACAATTCTCCCGTATGTTTCATTTAATAAACAATAGAAAACCGAAATATGATGTGAAAATCTCACAATACACTGCCGGTATATATCACAGAAGACAGGAATACACTAAGATAATCAGCATACTCAATGAGTGTAAGTGGTACACAGTGATGACAATAATGCGAATCACAAAAATAAAACTAAACGGCCACGAGATTGGTTTTTGATAATATGACCAAACATTATACTCCTAGCGTCATTTTCTCCAATATCCTGACTCCTATTACTACACCGTACTAAACTCGCACAATTTAGATCTAATGCGATTTTATAATAAACAGTTACCCAACAAAAACAATTTCAAATAACGGTCGCGAACATGAACTCATCAGCGCTTGAGTTTCTGAAATTTCCGTAGTAGCTTGATTATTCAGTTTCTGCTATCCCTTTGAAAGATACAACATATTTTCGTAATGTAGAATATTTTTACATCACTTTTAAACACTGTGGTCCTGAAAGGGACATGATGTGAAACCTATAAGCAGTGATAAAAAACAACTACAAATAATATTCCTTGATGGAAATGAAGTTCACAGATACAAACAACACAACCACGGCTCACCGTAGACCAGCAACGGCCTTGAGATCAGTGGACTAAAAACTAATTGCCCAATACACCAACTCCTGTGCAACCAACAGCCAGTGGAGTGTTTCTATATATGATTTGATAATAACTTACCTTATGCTCTGCTAAAACATGATCTTTTGATTTATATTATATGAATTAACTTTTTTGTGTAACTGATGATGACCTCTTGAGGTCGAAACGTGTTTGGCATTGATATCCTACACAGAGTAAGCAGTTGTTTGTATGAACATTTTACATTTCAATACACTACACGGTATGCAAAGTTTTAAGGTTACTGAGTGGTGCATCTTTGATTTCTGAGAAAAAAATTAGATTTATTTCTCTGCAGTGACTTGGCAGTACTGTGTTCCTGGACTTTCCATGGAATATCAAGTAATGTGTTTTTATGTAAATGAAACTTTTTTTCTAAAACAGAGAAAAGTATAGGTTTATATGGATATGTATTACAGTATTTATTTTATTTCCTCTACTGGCAACTGAATGTATAACATGGAAGTTTATATGTGAGGAAATATTTTTTGGTATAATATTTGTGTGAAGCGGGTTTACTTGTGCGCCAGCACAGTGTGACACGTGACATTTATCCAATCATAGAAGGGAAGGAAGTTACGCCAATATCGTATACTCCAATCACAAGTGTATCATTTCATTGGTGTTTTTCTAAAGTACAGCTGTTATTTGTTGTTATGCAGTCTGGCGTTAGTCCGACGGCGGAGAAGAGGATATCTTGATTTCGAAGTAGGTTGAACAGTTCTTGTTTTCGAATTAGGCGGAACAGAAAAGTAAATTCCGCATTGTAAAAGGATGTCTGTTTGGTTAACGCGTAAGTCATTGTTAATGTGTCATTAATATTAGGTTTTACTTTGGAGTCGTCACGTCAGTTGCATTGAATTACAAGAATTGCATCTTCCAGCATAATGATAAAGTATTAATTTTTGTTTGCAAGACAACGAAACATTGTTGAGGAACCGAATAATTTAAAATTAATTTCATGTTTTTACATTTTAATTTCTTATGTGCTCCGTATATTCTTGAAGCGTTTACAATACTACTATTTCTATTATTGATAATAATAGTCCTCTGAGTCTGCAGAACAGAGTTTAGTAATGTGGGAAGGGGAATGTGATCTTTTTATAGATGTGAGAATACTAGTTTAGTGTTTGGAAATATTTCTGTCTGTTGGATAAGGATATGAAACAATCTGAGTTTGGTGTTGAGTGAATGTTATAGTTTTATGTCATTGTATTGAATGATGGCTATCAAGTACTTAATTTTTTTATTAAAAAAATACTTCTACCACTAGTGATGGGTGTATTTAGTTTTGCAGGTTTCTTCCCTTTGTTTAATCAGGATAAGTGTGATAAAGTTTCCCCACTTCCTGCAAGTGCAGAGAGTTTTGCTGCTTCATTTCCATGTCAAATGCGCTATGATTTTTTCGCAGTCAAAATGACAGCCTACCTACTGTGTATGTAACATAAATTATTTCTTCCCTCATGTGCAGAGATGTATGGCAGCTGATGAGACATGTATAGATGAAGATTGTTTTCTTTCTTTTTCTGATAGATAAGGGAGAGGTAGAATGAGTTCTGTTGGGAATTCTGGAGGAGACAGTCGAGAGACTAGCCAAGAGAGACATCCAGTTGACCTGGCAGCTAAGACAACGCTGAAAACTTCTGTGGATTGTACTAGACCAACTTCAGTTAGTATCTAATTTTATTTTGAAATATGGTGAGAAATAACCCACCTTTGTCTGCTTTCATTAATATCTGTTGAAGAAAGATTTATGTTTTGATAAGAAATTAAACATTAAACTGGGACATTTTTAAGTTTAACAACACTTAGCAAATGCTTTTTGAAATCAATAGTGATGCATTCAGTTATTCGAAGGGGATATTTGGAAAACAAGCCTGCGCTTGGCATCTTAATATCCTTGTAAAAAAGTGCAAAGTCTGTTGAAATTATTTGTGAAAAGACAGTTTAAATTAAGGCCAATACATTTATATGTTGATAGCTCAGATGATGAAAGTGTCAAATGTTGGTATGATTAGTCAATAATGTATTGGAAATTATGTTGAAGGAAGTGGTAATGACCTAATTTAAGGTACTATCCTGGCATTTGCCTGAAGGGGCTGAGGAAAACCATTAAAATCCTCAGTCAGGATAGTTGGTCTCCAGGCTGAGATTTGGACCCAGGACCTCCAGAATATGAAGTAGGAATGCTGACTGCCTGACCATGAAATTTGGTAAGGCCAAAAATAATGCATTGGCAGTTATTCATTTCCTCAAGTTAAAGGAAAGTCAAAATGTAGACTTACTTGAAATTAACAGAATGTATGAAAATTGTGGGTGCACCTTGTTTTTCTGTTTGTATTAAGCCTTTGCTGTGTTGAATTTTGTATGTCGGGTTAGTTTGTTGAACAGTTTTATTTTGTGTTGGCCAGATATGCATAAGGCGGCTCCGTAGATAGCCAGGCTTGTTGTTTTGGGATGTTGAGTGTGTCTCTTGTAGGCTAAAGATCATGTAGAAATAATTTGGAGTATGGTAATAGTGATGTATCTTCTATATGTGAAGTCATGTGATTTTATCCATTCTGAGTTGTACTTGTACTACGGAGTGGTAGATTTATTGTGTCCCCGAAGCTTCAGCGAAAGTGGTATCGGAGGATTTTCAGAATCGGTAGCCAACAGATTTCTTGATCCAGAACTTCTGTTTATATCGGATAATGCAAGCTTTACATTAGTTGGCAACATAAACAGATACTGGTGTTTTGAAAATCCCTAACCAGTTTATGAAGTTATTTTGTGTGACCTTGAATTTGGAGTGTAAGATGCAGGGATTGCATACAAAATCACAGGGCCTTTGTCTCTTTTAAGGAACAATAAATTGTGGCTTATGTTTGATTAATTCTGACATCATGCTTCAGGGAATTAACAGAAGAAGAGAAAATGCATGTTTACTTCATGCAGGACATTGCCACATCCCACACAGCATATTTCTCTGTGACTGAATTATTTGGCAAATCTTTGAGAGATTTCTAGATTTGAATACGTGAGATTTTTATTTGTCAAAAGAACTGAAAGACTATATTCCAAGAGAAATTGCTAAAGTTTTGAGATTAGCTCTGTTGTGTGCTGAGAAACACTTTCAGAAGGAGGAGGTTAGCACTTCAGCACTCTTCTTTAAGATAAGGTAAGTTAAAATGCAGGGGAGAAACAGACTCTTAAATTCCTGGCAGGTGCAGGCTTCCAATGCAGCAGTACTTCAGTGACAGACAGTATATCTACCAACCAGTAGATTTATCCTGGTTAAGTTGAACAGGTAACATTTTTAAATTGTAGACCAGCTTGTTATAAATGCAAGCTTTAATATTGCTTGAATTATTTCAATAAATCAAGTAGTTTTAATTTTCTTTAAACTCAGTTTGAGATTTACTATATTGCACTGATTGACTTCTGTGTTGTCGCTGTCAACATTCTACAAACAAAGCTTAAAAACATCATTTGAGTTTTATTGATATTTGTTATGTAATGTGGTAGAAGTTTGATTAAACAAACATTAGGTTTTAAATTGTGAGTTCAAGGGTTTCAGCACTGTGTTCTCATAAAGATTGTTGCCAACGTTTTGAAGGAATCTGCAATCTCTATATTTTTAGCAGATGTAGCAGCAGTTTCCTCTGAAATAATGTTGATTGTTTACATGACCACATGATGTCCCAACCCAGAAATGTCTAACGATTCACTGCCATGAAAATCTCAGATCTGTGATGAAATGAAAGATTGATTATGTTATATTGTACAAAAACCAGTTTTACCTCTTTTAGCTAACTAGCAATTATAATTTTGTGTTCGTAATACAGTGATTAGCATGTAAAAGAACCTTATGAGCATGAACGAGATGTTTTATAAGCAAAATTGAGCAGCCATTTCTCACCCATGTCTTTGGTAGAGGCCTTGCAATGGTCTGATAATTCATCCAAGAAGTCCCTACCAGACTTCCCAAAAAAATAGATCAGATACCCTCTGCTCCATGCAGGAGATAAAAGGGTATATGGTGAATATAGTGATTAATTTGATAGAATTAAATGTTGTCTTGTACTTCAGATACAATCTTCAGGCCAACTTCGTGGCATTGTTACAACCACAGGCCATTCTGTAGGACGAGTTCAAAGTTCTGGTATGCAGACTGTTGTCATGAGCAGCACTACTGGCCCACAGATGCCTCTGAAGCAAGGTGCGTACAAGATTTTGTTAGTCATTGTAAACATCCATTCTTCAAAATTCTTTGGTGGAGATTGGAACAAATATATGTGCACTGGTATAAAGAATATTTTATAGGTTATGTAATGTTTGTTTTTGTTAGTCTGTTCATTTTGCCCTGGGAATACTGAGTGTTAATTTATTATTGTTTTTTATTGCCTGTGAGTCATGACTTGTTAACAATTGAATCTATTCAGTACCTGTTTGGGTTAGGGGGCACTTTCTTTGGGTATAAAGTGGATGGAGCATGAGGCTGACCATTCACCTCCATGTAGTATTGAGGTTAAGAATACTTTATCTATATGCCTTCATGGCTTGGTGCATTGGCACAGGGACAACTTTTCTTTTACCTTTATATGGAATTGTTTGATGAGTAGCTCTAGAGATGGATTGTTTAGTTACACAACAATTCATTTCCAGCTGCAGTGGATATAGAGGTTAAATGATATGGGAAGATATTCATGAATAGTGAGTTTGTATTTGGAAGCAAGTGCTGTCCTGTCATTTGTCTGGAGAGACTGACAGCACTAGGAAAAACCATATGGGTCAAGATTTGATGAGCGTCACTGCTACATCCGCCTATTTGGTGTATGATGGAAATTATTACTTTGGGACCATAAGTTACTTGATGTGTTGTTCTGATGATGGAGGCAGCAAACACTTCTGACACTGATAAACTTATGTCAGACTACACAGTGCAATTACCCAGAAGATATGTCATCTTCATACTTGCTGTCATGAGAACCTCAAATCACACATAACTTATTCATTCAGATGCTTCAGTTTTGGCATACATTCATGATATTTTTGTTGAATTTGTAGTGGGGGTTCCTCGTAGTGCTATGCCGGCATGCACAACTTCTAGCACAGCTACACTGGTACAAAGTGTAATGGCAGCAAGCACTCGGCCTTCTGTAGTACCTGCAACATCTCCACTACCCATGCAATCAAATGCCACAGTGTCTGGTACTCATGTCTCCACAACTTATCATGTGCCAAGAGGTGAGTTTGTAGATGTGAGCAAGAAATTCTGGGAATAACTTGCAAATTCTGTTTTCCTTCTAAGGCTTTCATGAAAGGCTGTCAGATATTACAGTTAATTGCTGGGTATAATTTCCACTAAATCAGAGACATTATAACCTCGCAGATTCAAATTTTGTATTGTGTTAGTCTATCTTTCATACAGAATTTATATGTATGTTATTAATGTTTCTACACTGTTTTTCATAGCTCCAGTCACACTGATTCAGTGATCTTTATTAATCAGGTCATTAAGACAGATGTAATGTGTTTAAATGGTGCAGTGTTGTTTAATGGTACCTGCACCTTGTGGTGGTGGGGCTTGAGTACCTCAGTGACCCCAAGAGCTATGCTGGCGGTAGCATAGCTACTGGTAGGGCCTCCCTAGCCAGATTGGTTGAGGGGGAGAGGTCAGACTAAGACAGGTACCCTGGTCCTCCAGGTTGGGGGTTGGTCGCAAGGCTAACAACCTTGCACCGTAAAAAGGAAGATGTTTTGAAACCTCAATCAAAGCCTCGGACAGACGGACCTAACAGAGGACCGAATGGAAGAGGAGAATTGAGGAGGCCATGGACCGAATATGGGCCGGAGAGCCACAGAAGAAGAAGAAGAAGAAGTTGTTCTAGCTAGTAAGAAGGAAGTTCAAAGATGGGGTGGTCTCAAATGGTATGATACTTGTATGAAGCTTTATTCTAGTGTCTATTAGTGTTCAGAAGTTGCGAGGAGAGGATACACATGCAGGCTTTCATAGACATATAAACGTAGCCTGTACCACAGAGATAGACAGACATTTCTGTAAGCTTATGTCTTCTCTTTTACTTGCTTTCTTATGTAAGATTCTCATATTTATATCTTGAATTGATTATTTTCTGTTGCACTAGTGCAGTGTTCTTGTTATTGCTGTTATTATAGTTGTTGGAAGCACAAAAAATATTAAAATTAATCTTTGTTACTCTTACAGGAGTATTGTCTTTGAACATTGTCCTATTCCTAGATAAACAAGAAATATAATGTTTTGGCTCTGTATCAGATCTCAGGTGGAAGGAAACAGTATGTACTATTTGGGGCACATTATGTAAAAACACTATACATTATTTTTTGTGAATCAACGACTGATGTGCCAAGCACCAAACTTCCATCCACGTGTTCTACAGTAAAGTTGTCAAAGTTAAGGAAATTAAAAGAAGCTAAAGAAATAGGTTTTATTTTTTGGAAATTCTAGGACATTGTGAAAAGTTAATGGTATGTTGAATTGTGTGGGAATTTGCAGTTTTTAGGATGTGGAGAAAGAAAAGCTTATGGTAATATGGTTTCTGATGACATTTTGCTTTTATGTGCTACTTAAAGATAATAATCTATGCACAGGTGCAGCAGCGGTTGCAAATATAGCTGCTCCACGATCAGCTGTAGCCACTCCCATAGTAAGATCCACAGCAAACCTTCAGTCTACAGCAGGCACACAGCACACAACTAGGCAAGTCATTAAGAATTCATATACTTTTTTCCTCATTCTTGGATTATTTTCAAAAGCATATGTCATGAATAATTTGTAATCATTTTAAGTGAATACCATACTTATTCCTTATAGTAAAAATGGATCCCATTCTGGAAGGTTGCATTATGTTTGAGGACTATTGCCTTATTCACTTATTGTTTACAAGGTCTGATGATTATGTTCATGTGCTGGTTATTAGGTCTGACAAATATTTGGCATAGCCTTTATGTTCAGATATTTAATCAGGATCAGTCTTGGCAGTTTCTCAGTTTTTGTTCATTTCTGTTGCCAAAATGGATGTTTAGCTGGTTGTAATGGCTTCCATTCCATATTTAAATTGCTTAATCCAACCAGAAATCTCTTATACTCATTGTTCCCTATACATAATCCAGTGGTCCGCAACCAGTGTGCCGTGAATTTTTATAAGAAATTTTATACAGTAGATTCTGGTTAATTAGGACAACCGTTTATTTGGGACAAATCTTAAAGAACAAACCTTTTTAACTCTTTATGCAGAACTTTGCATAATTTTTTATTTCAGTTTTACCCGTGGATTGGGTCCAAGTACTCTGTTACCTCGTGCACCCAGCCCTGCATCTCAGGGGACAACATGGTTAAGTGGAAGTACTGTCCCTGCAGCATCATCATCAGTGCCAAAATGTGTATCTCCAGGACCCATATTACCATCGCCAAGAGCTCCATCCATTACTACTCTACAACAGTATACGCAGGGACGCTCAACATCCATGACAGGTGCAAGGATGAAAACCTGTTTTAATAATTCTGTGTGATTCTTAGTTCCCTGAAATATATGCAACAGTTTTTAAGGAACTTTGTCTTTCAGAAATGTTCATCATTATTTCTTTGATGAACATGGAGGATAAAATGCTGGAAAACACTATCTGAGACAGAATTGCATCTGATGAAACTACTAAATTGAGAAAATAACTTTCAGTTTAGACAGACAGTTCAAAAATATGTAGGTTATGTCTGATTTGTTGATTTGTCATGTTGTGTAGGTGTACATTTTATGTTTTGATAGGAACTCACTATATTTCAGTAAGTATGTAGTGTTGTGCTTTGTGTCACTTAAGCTTGTCTCTTGTATTGTGATTAATTTTTGTATAAAATGTTGAGCAGTTTGGCTCAGTTGTAAGAACACTAATCAAACCAGGGATTAGCTGTCCTGACTGAAGTTTCTTGTAGTCTTCCTCATTGCTTCCAGACATATGACAGGATTGAAGTAGAACATAGATTCCACTTCCCACTTGCCTAGTGGGCTTACTTCATGATCCAAATCATTTCTGATTTATAACATATGCATTTAGATAAGTGTTAAAATAACATAAGAAATAAACCATTTACAGAGATTGGTGTAACATATTGAAATTAATATGCAAAACACAGTTGCTTAAAAAATAAAGTCATTTTGAGCATGTTTGTTCTACATTCAGAATTATTCAGGAAGTGACCTCTAGATAGATATGGATGGTAGCGTACAAGGGCAGGTTCTACAGCTTGAAAATTTTTCTGGGGATCTAGTCAGACTTGGATGAGTTCATGAGTTTCATAATTTATACTTTACAAAAATATTTTTAGGGTTATCAAGTCATGGAAGATGAGATTGGTCAAACATGTAACATGAATGAGATAGCTTAGAAATGCATTGCAAAATTTTTGTTGGAAAACCTGAAGAGACCACTGGCGAGACCTATACTGGAGTTAGGTTAATATTAAAATGAATTGTAAAGAAATAGGGTGTAAGGATGTGAACTGAACTCATCTGGCTTAGGATACAAACAAGTGACAGGCTCCTTTGGACACAACAATTACTAAGGTTCTATAAGAGGCAGAGAATTCCTTGTCTGGGTAAGTTACTGTCAGCTTCTCAAGATGTACTATGCTTGATGGAGTTTTTTTAAATTTAGCCTTAAGAATATGTATTACTGTGCACTGTTGATAAGTAACACACCCTGATATACTGAAGATAACATTTATCAAACTTGTTATCAGTTATGTGGACTGATAATGTATTTGTTGTTTCTGTGTGTTTGGGTAGTAACAGCAAGACCGTTGACTCCACAAGGAAATAGAATGCATTCTGAATCACCACGACCTCAGCTGATTCATGCCTCTACACAGAAACCTATAGCTGCGACACAAACTGGTACACAGGTAAGCCACGAACAGGTGTATTGTAATATTGTAAGCATGTTAATCTCAAGTATCATATTTGTTTTAGGAACAGATGTAACTCTTAAGATATATAATCTTTTGCGCCCATATTTAATGCTATTTATGTGTGATGTTAATATCCCCACCCCCAAATTTCAGATGTATTTTGAAAAATTAAACCTTGGTTAAGAAAATGTTCTTACTTTCATGCCCGTTCATTTTACAGGACCAAAACTGTGTGACTAATTTCTGTCAAATGGTATGGTGGACTAGCCTTAGACCTGGTCCAGTTCTGAGGATAGCCCCAGCAGATAGGTTTTCTCTCATGTACTCCTTTTTTACTAGGTGGTGAAAGCAGATCCAGGTTATGAAATGTTGTGGTTTTATGATTTTATAATTTTGACACCTGCCGCAGTAGCCACGTGGTCTGAGGCATGGACCTCGTGTGCCTGGCCGCTGGGACCGTGGGTTCAAGTCCCACTGAAGGCATGGATGTTTGTCCGCGTCTTTCTGTGTTTGTATAGGTAGAGGCCTTGCATTGGGCTGATCACTCATCCAAGGAGTTCTACCACTGTCCAAACAGATCAATAAAATGAATAAATAAACCTTGACACCTACGGGTAGAAGAGGATAAAGAGAAAGAAAGAAAGATAATTTTGACAATGGACAAGTCCAAGAGAACTACTTTACACATTGTAATTAACCATCATCAGAAACCTTAAAACTTTGACAGAAGTTTGGTTGGAAAGCATGAATAAAAGAGATCACTCAGGAGACCTGGGTATATATGGGAGAATAATATTAGAATGACTCTTAGTGAATAGAGTTAGAGGATGCAGAGTGGATTTATCTGGCTAACAATAGGGACTGGTCTTGTGAATATGGTATTGAACCTTAGGGGTTCATAAAAAAAGGTAATTTCCTGAGTGGCTGAACATGCTTTGAGCTTCTGAAGTAGGACTGTATTCATAATTGTTGAACTGATACAGATTGTTCCTAGTCTTTTGTACGGAAATTTATGTATGTATGGAAACCATATGTCCAGGTGTGTATTAGATTATTGTCTGCTTTATTTTATATTAATAATTGTGTGTTCACTTTTATGTGAATTTTTTTTGTGGGTGTTGGCACTGTATAAATGTAAGCTGTATTGCTGACATTTATTTCAATCCTTATTGTCTCCATCAACAAAACCAAACAGTACAGGTCTCTGTGAACTGCTGCATTTGATTTGTCAAGTAGCAGGTCAGAAAAATATATCTTTAAAAAGTCAGTCTCTTTCTAATTGTGGGGCTGAATGGGTTGGGTGTCTGGAATGATGGGAAACCCACATGGAAGGTGCAGGCTTATGTGAAACAGGAGTGAGGAAGAGAAGAAGGTGAGGATAAAAGTAATGAGATAAAGTTGAGAGTTAGTGTAGTGAGTTGGGGAATTTTGCTTTTTGTTTTACCTACAAAGGGTTGGACCAAGTCAAGTTGATGGTCTTCTAAGCTGGACTCTGCTGATAACGTTATTTACTATTGAGGTTTTGATGTAGGTTGATTTTATTGGCTTCACTTATGTTCTCTTTCATTACAGATAGAATAATAAAATAACTCGTCAATGACCTATCATTCACAATGTGGCAATGTAGTGGGATGTTTCAAGGCTACTAGCTTCTGTCAGCAAGTGATTATGCTTTGTCTCAGGGTGCCTTAAGAGGCACTTACTGGGTGGGTGAAGACATGTGCATAGGATAATAATGCCCTTTAGATATGCAGGTTACAAGAAGATACCACGCCATTTTTGTGTGTGACAATTTAAAGATAAATGCTTCATTATTTTAGACATTTTGAAAAATCTTTTATTTCAGTTGCACATTGCTGAGAAGAGCTACTTCAAACCCAGTGTGTCAGTGCAGTCCTCTCTTGGAGGAGTGTCAATAGCTCAAGTATTACCTGCGCGCACACAGGTATCTCCACTCACGTACAGCAACCCACTCACTTCGACAGCAGCACACTTTCAAGCCACATCTGGTGCAGGTCAAGGAACCACTACACTTATTCCAACCCAACCCCATCCATTGACCCTATCACAGGGTATGGCCAGTACTACAAGCAGTGGCCAAGGCTCAACTGCAGTGTTGACAGCCCCAGCCAGACTCACAGTGTCCAGTATTCCTGGAACAAGTCTTCCCGCCCAGGGAACTGTACTTGCCACTGCCACCACTCAGCGGCCAGGACAAGTGTCCAATGCTGCAATTCTCACAGCTCCTGCTCGCTTGGCTGTCTCCACAGCTAATCAGGGTCCTGGCTCTGCTCAAGGAACCACTCGTCTCACTGTAGCTGCTGCTGGCTCAAGCCAGAATGTGAGTCTCACAGCATCTGCATCAAGTGCAGGACAAGGGACCATCATAGCAAGTTCTGCTCGCATCACCACACTACCCAGCTCAGTTCTTACCTCAGGTCAGGGAACTGCTGCTCTGTTGACTGGTCCAGCACGACTCACTATGACCTCTAGCATCCCTGTCCCAAGCCAGAACGCAGTATTGTCAGGGCAGACACGTTTACAGGCCATCTCTTCAACTGTTCCCACAGCAATTGCAGCCTCTTCCTCCCAGGGAACTGTGCTAACTGCACCAGCTCGTATTACCAGTTCGGTTGGCCCTTCTGTTCAGCAAGGTGCTCGTCTTACTGTGTCTGCTAATTCTGCAATTGCACCAAACCCAGGACAGAATGCACTCATTACAGCTCCCACACGTCTCACTGTGTCATCAAACTCACCTATGACACCCAGTCCAGGTCACCAAGGCACAACTGTTCTAGCAACCCCTGCACGTCTGACTGTAACATCTGGTGTCCCCAGTTCAGCCCTTCCACCAACAGGTGTTGTGTCGCTTCATCCAGTAGTTGTCTCAAACACAAACTCAGGCCTGGCCCTTAAACCTTCTACACACAGCCAGCTGGGAACATCAGGGAACAGAAATATTACCACACATCAGAATTTGGGACCAAAGGTATGTTTACAGTATTCCATGGAGATACAATATTTAATTTATTTTTCATATTTTCATTTAGAGAAGTAATACAATTTGTGTGAGAATTATTTAGTTTCGCACATCACTAAAGTAGGCAGTTGGCTGCAGTTTTCTCAACATTTCTGAGGCATGTCAGTAGTAAGTGAAGTGGTTTTATGGAAGAAGGAAAATATATGGAGTAAACCATGAACATTGTTGTGTTATTGGCATGCCACAGGGATACAGGAAAATATTATAGTTTTAGCCATCAGTGTTAATGATGCTGATGTGATCAGAGCTACTGCTCAGAGTAACCTAAACCTATGCTGTTTATAACAAACCTGATTGACTGGTATATTTTCTGCTAAATTTATTCATTCTTGTATATATTTAGTTTCTCTCTAGTGTTATTTACATGAAATATGCTAGAAAGACAGATGTTCATCATGATTCATTATATTATTTAGACATTTGCTATGGGCTTAAATATATACTCACAGTTATTAATTTCGTGATCTTTTATTGCTTCCTTTTATATAATTTGTGATGGGTGGCAGGTGATAACACAACCAGCCCATGGTCCACCGATCCAGATAACACAGGTGCCAGTGAGCTCTGTAGCTGGTAAACTACCCCAGTCACTGCACAGTGTGACTCCCTTGCAGACAGCTATAGCAATCACTACAGGAACCACCAGGACTGGTAAGCACAGTTATAACTCTTACTCATTCTTAACTTTGGCAGTAGATAGGGGTGAGTGGTCAGCATCACACCCCAGAAAATTGTAAGCGTAGCTTTGATAAAAGAAAAGTATTTGAGGCTAAAACTCTAACCTCTGACTCCCCCTTTTTTTGCTGTATGTGTGTAACAGTTTACTAACAAATAATTTTAATTTGCAGTAGCATACACAGCCACAACAGTTACCACGAGTAATGTGTCCAGTATCCGCCCAGTCACAGTGGCCACTACATCATCTATACCTGTGGCTAAAGTATTCCCACAGGCTGTTGGTGCTAGCCGAGAACAGATGGGGACAAATTCTGTGTCTGAAGTGACATTACCAGTACATGCAATCCAGACTCCTCAACCAACACAGCAGCAGCAAACCATTGTGGCAACTCAGCAAGCTATTTCTCAAGCTACCAGTGTGTATATCCAGACTTCACACAGAACTTCCCCTGGTAATGTACAATAAAATATCTACATTATATCAGAAGAGATTGTTTGTGAATCTTGTTTAGTTTTGTTGATGTTCACTTTTTTGTGTTAAAGCGCCGAGCTCCACTCAGGCATCTATAGACAGAGCAGGCTCAACAATTCCAACATATACACTCCCAACTACTTACTACTATGAAACTCCCAGTGGCTACCAGGTAGCGGGGGTAGGTAGCTCGCTTGTGGCTCGACCATACAATCCTGGAAGTCCTTACACTGTGCAGACCACCACTACACAAGCTTTGCGACCAGGAGTCGCCACCCACCAAGTACATGGTGAGATTATTTTAAATCTTACATGAAATTTTGCTACATGTTAGTAATTTCTTCTTCAACCTTTAGTAATATGGTTTTAGAATATTTCCATCTGGTTTGATGTACTCTTTTAAACAGTAGTAGAAAGAACAGAAACATAGATTGGATGTGTCCATGTCTTTGATAAGGATGTATAAAACTAGCCAAATATAAAGCTAAATCTTGTGGAAGACTATTGTAAAACAAAGTAAGACAATTATCAATTTTTAGTTTTGAAACTAGTCGTGTAATCACATATTTTATGTCATTCTGTAAATAGATAGGGGTTACATAATGTTATCTTAATTCACAATCAAAACTATCTCCCAGAATATACTTCTCCATCTTTCCAGGAAAGTATACCTGTATATAACATGAGTATGAAATATTTTCCTGTATTTTATGTCCAACCTGATGAACTTGTTTGTTGAGCTCTGTAAATATACATAGATTAAACCTGTATTATCACATAAAAGAGATGTACCCACTATAAGTGTTACAGAAGATTAGGTTCTGCATCTCTTCAGGGCCTTTTGTCCATACTAAATCCCCTGTGGTGTGTATACATGCTTCTCATATTCATGTTACACATAAACACTGCAGAAATACATAATACAACAATTTGCTCGCTTGGTAATGTTTTATCTCCACTGATTTTGCTGACACAAGGAAATATTAGTAGAATTAAAAATAAGTAAAATTTATTGCACCAGATCTCTACTAATTAATCTGATATCATTAATTTCTAAGGTGGGAATGTAAATGTCATTGAGAATGACAGAAATTCTTTTATAGACAGCAGAATGTTGATCTGTAAATGAATAACAGTAAAAGTAATAAAAATTATTTGAAAATGTTTCAGAACTTAAATATCTGGGATCAGCATGGCAAAAATGTGGTTTCAGATTAAAGTAAGAGGAGAATACTTTCAGGAAATGCTTGTAATTATTCAGTTTAAAACCATTATAATTCCATATAATCCCTGATAGTTTTATCACTTGTTTTGTGTGATTATGAAACACAGTCTCTGAGATCGTGAATTAAAAATATCTGAAAGATATTTTTACCTACAATTGATGAAATGTAGAGGAAAATATTGAGGACATTAATATCTGTAACAATTTGTGTGAATTGGGTGTGGATTCAGTCAGCAAAGTTTTATTTTCAGTTTATGTTTTGGCTTTGTTGAAATCCTTAAAATTGCTTTAAAAGTAATGTCCATATATCGAGTGGGTTGTAGAGTATAGTTTTAGTCGAATGATTGTTTGTTTGTGTTTCCCCCCTTCCCTGCAATAAATTTGCAATATATTTTGTTGCTGCAGGTATTGTGACTGGAACCCAACCAGTAAGGTTCAACCCTGTTATGGTTGTTGATTCAGCCAGAACATCTGTGCCTGTTCACTCATCCTTTGTAACTGAAGGTAAGCAAATTAAAACAGTGCTGTGGACAGAAGTATAAGTACAATAAAGTCAGGAACAACATTTTCAATTTTATGGATTTTTCTCAATTTATTCTCTGGCTGTCCACATAAATATTTTGTTATTCTATTACAAAGTTCAGTTTTATGGAGATTTTGATAAACATCTACAAAATGTTTTCCTTTAGAAAATATTTATGATCACTCAAATAATAAATATTTATAGTGTCATGGAATTTGAATATTTTTCTACTCAAGCAGGAGAGAATCACAACTGACGTATCTCCACTAACTAATCCGTGGAGCAGAGTTATTTTTAGAAGTTGATAGTCATTCTCATAGATGTTAATTTTTTTTAACACAGGGGCTCTCAACAGTCTATCACTGGACCCAGCTGAATCTAATCTACATCACGCCCTATTTCTTTAAGATCTATTTTTCTATTGTCTAGGTTGCACCGAAGAATCTGTCAAAGGACAAGGCCCAATGTGATATTTTGTAAATGCTAGTTTCTCATGTTGAGTTCCTCTCCCAGCCTCTAAGTTGGAGTTTTATAGCTGCCTACTACTGCTTGTGCAACATATTCACAACCACGCTCCATATCTCTAGACCATCACCAACATGCACAATCTGAGGAAGTGCAATTCTGTGATCACAAGGGACCCATGTTGTCTTGCACGGTTGACAGTAATATTTGTACTTAATAATTCATTATGCTGTAGTTTGTCTGTACTGATTGTATACAAATACATCTCATTGCTTTCAAGTTTTCAGTTAATTAACAGTGTATGAAATTTAATATAGGCTTGAGTACCAACAGAAATTCATAATTTACCCAGACTGCTTAGCACCATTTCATTTCTTTGACTATTTATGCCTTTCCTATAGTATTTGTAAACTGTTTATATGCATATGGGTTTGTAGGAACTTTGGTTCAGACAGAAGGATCGGTCCTGGGGCAAAGTAACCAGATGCAGCCTACTTCAAAGCCCAATGCCTCACCTAGACCCAGCATATTACGTAAGAGGGACAATGATGGGTGAGTGAGTTTAGCTGCATGTCTTGTTATCAGTAGTTGAATGTTAAATGTTGGGAAACGGTGATAAGAATTCTTTGCTTTTCTATTTCTGATAAATGGCTGTTGTCTTTTGGAGTCAGCAGGTTTTTGTAGGCTTTTATTTGGTTGAAATGCCATCTTCAGAGGATCCTAATGCAATATAGATACACATACCTTGTTCACATATTCATGTACATTTTGCAAATCATTTAATGTGCGCTCCTTTGATTTTTCATTTATCTGATTTGACATTGTAAGTTGTACTAATTTTGTAAAGATCCATTTTAAAGGTTATTTATCATTTTACTTACCCTTAACTTCATCTTCTTTAACTGTTTCTAATTTTGTGTTACATGATATCACATTCTTTGCTTAGTTTTCTTTGAGCTATTTTATTGGAAAAACTGCTGTAAGATTTACTTTTTTTCTCTCATCATCATCTTCATATTCTAAAACTTTTCCCAGAGTCTTTATATTTATTAGTTGGCTGTTTTTCTGCATTTATATTTGGTTTTTCTTATACAATTTAATGTATTTATTTATTTGAAAATGCCATAGACATAATGTTAGGAAATCTGAAGGTATTCAGAATACATATTGCTGTGGGGGTTTCTAAGAGAGCTGTTCATTCACCAGGAGTCTGTGGAAGTGGAATGAGCTTCAGGCACCAGTTCCTTTTGTTTTACTTGTCCTGCCCCTTACACTGGTGTTGTTATCCTTCATGTAATTCTAGTAATGTTTTACTAATGTTACTGTGCAGTTTATGAGACATACTGTGCTTGTATTCTGATTGAATCTTACTCTGTATATAGTATAATGATATATGTTGCATTGCATTGTAAGACATAGACTTGTTTCTTAGCTCACCTTTGAAGGCACAGAAGAATCTGGCTCCAGTTTTAGCAGCTCTAAGCAGTGGTGCCCCAGTCTCTCCTCCATCACCACGACGTCCTGATTCCCGTGGCAATGGAGGCAATTCTTCTGGTGGCTCTACTACCATTTCAGCTACTTCATCTCCAGGGCTGGGTGAAGCCGGAGATGATTCATTGCCACCAATAAAACAAGAACCAGTAGAAGAAGGAGAGAGACCTCCAGTTGAGATGAGCCCTCGTAAAAAACCACGTAAACAACAGCTGTAAGTGTATATATTTATTTGTAGTTTATTTAACAACCCCTGCCTAAAAGGGCTCGGACACTAGGAGGGCTATGGCACCTACAGGACATACACATCACAGGAATTATTATTGCTGTGTCCATCAGTGTGTTGGCAACTAAGTGTTATGTATTGAGTCATGTTGCCATAATAGTTACATCAGAGAAAATCCTATTTTAACAGAAGTGAATTATTGAGCTCTTTAATAAATCAACTGTTGCATTTCTAGTGATGCATGTGAATTAGTCTGTTAATGTATCTCTTCTGCAAATTAAGACACGATATCTATGAGTACATGAAAAGAGTAATACAGCGAAACCTCTATCCATCGTTCCCCGAACTATCGTTTTCCCGCATGCATCGTCCGTTTTGTTCGGTCCCGGATACATCCCATATAAAATAATGTTACATTTTCCCGCTTCTATCGTTCCTCAAACTATCGTTTTATCGCATCGATCGTTCAGAAATCTTAGTCCCAGCCCACAATTTTCCCGCAATGATCGTTTCTGAGAAATTATAACGAAATTTACGCGATGTTTTTAGAATTTAAAATGCTGGGTTTTGAGATAAATTAATACCGAAAGACGCATAATGTTAATGTAATAGTATTTCCATTCTTCCTGTTATTGTTTGCGAAGGGGGTTGGAGTGGTGATGAAGAGGAAGACGAGTGAGAGCCCGAAGCTGTGCCGAGTTTTGCCGAAGCATTGGTAAAAGTGAAGTCGTTCTTTTATGCGCATAATATTAGTGAACGTGACGAGGAAAACATTTTGCAAGTGGAAAGGGCTCTGTTTGGCCTAAAACGTAAAGTTTCGACAAACCAGTTGTCCATTAAAGACTTTTTTGGTAAAAAGAAGTAACTTTGAAAGAGAAACATTCAGTTTTTTAACATTTTTAATGCTTTCCCGCAACTATCGTTTTCCCGTATTCATCGTTTTTATTTCCCACCCCCGCCAAAAACGATGCATCGAGGTTTCACTGTAACAGCAAATGGAAAGTTGCTGTGATTATCAATAATTACCGTTTGTTACGTACTATTGGGAGATAACATTAAATAGTGTGTGTTGTAAAGAACTCTGAAGATGTTTCCAATCTTTCCCTCACCCAGTTACATTGTGTTAAATAAACATTTCTTGTCAAATTGTAGGACCGGTAATGAGCTCCACGAACCAAAATTTAGTGAAGATGATATGGAATTTATTGTGGAAGAAAAAAATATCAAGAAAGAAGTGAAAGGTCAGTACCAGTTACCATTTCTAGAATGAATTTTCAAGCATTTATTATTCTGAAACTGTTATAACATGGAACAAGATCTGCTGTTGGTGATGTCTTGCTTGCACTTCTTTGTAATGGTATAACAGTATCTACAAAACCCTGCACCAAAACTATCATCTTAATATGTATTTGTTATGTGGGGGAATAAGTGATCATACTGTTCTTTAATGTATTATGAACATTATCCTTCATGTGTGCTCCAAATGTAAATACAATAAGTTTATTGTTCCTAATGCTCAAACTGTTCAGTTGCCTGCAGTTTGCTTCCTCAGATGCCAGATTCCATGAATGGAAATCAACATTGTTTCTGGGCACAGTTTCACATCGAAGTAGATGATGATTTTTTTCCATTCAGAATTTATTCTTGATACAGATCACAATATGGTGGTGGACAGGAATATCCTGTTGATCTGTCAGTACATAGGGTCCATTGGCAGGCTCCACTATTTTTGCAGCTACTTTAGGGTCTCAACAATGAAGTGTTTGAACAACTAGTATATATGTTACATGCATTATTACAGAGTATATAAGTTAGGTAGAAACATGAATAATTCAGTACCTAAAACTATTTATCATACTTCTTACATCACTACTTCCTAGGATAACATCTGTTATTGTTTGAACTGCGCATAATTAATTGGTTGTACGTAAAATATACAAGTTCATTCTGTTAATGCTTTGAGGCTGAAGCTCACCTGAATAATGTTTAAGAATTCAGTCTGTACCACAAAGAAATCACACTTTATCATTACAAATCTAATATGCAAAATGCTGTTTAAATAAGGAAATTATCACTGTTTACAGTGAAAATCATACAAAATGCATAAAATGAAGAGTTATTGATTGTTTAAGCAAGTGGGGCATATAGTTTCCACTGGGCTTTAAATTATTAAAGTAGCTTCATAAAAAAAGCTTGGAAGACAGTCAGCTGGTAACTGAAAATAATCTTTCTGTCATGTATTTGGATCCATAAATACATTTTGGGACAGTCCTATGAAAATAGCAGTAAGACATTTTATGTGTTCTACATGATGTGCAAAAATAACTTTCATCAGACAGGAATAATTTTGTTTAGTTTAATTTTTCTAGTGGCAACATTTCTTCATTGTGTCTTACTTTTTGGGTGTGGGTGCAGATTTCATTGAACATATGTAGTCTGTTGAAATATTTTGTCATTATTTTCCTAAGTTCCCCAAGAGTTAGGACACTGCTTTATAATGCTCCAAGGTAATTTTCTGTGTATTCCGTGACTTACTACATTTATTTATTACAGTTTTTTCTTACCCAAGTTACCATTATTACTTCAAATTTCAGTATCCGAGGAGTATGAGGAGAAAATCTACATACCAAAACGTCCCAACATTTCCCTTATCAACAGTTACAGACATACTTGGAAGTCTAGACAGAATCACTATCTTCGCTACAGTGATGTAAAACCCAAGGATGAGAGGAGACCCACTGTGACGGACCTTGCAAACCAGAAACAGGTTCTCCAGAAGCTGAATGGTTGGAAGATTTATCACCTGAGTACACAAATGGAAGATCTTGTAAGTATAAATCTGCTACAAATACAGTGAAGTACCATTTATTTACTAAATGATGAGCAACAGCATAAAACATATATGAGGTACCATATTAACATTTCTGTATACTATATAACTCAAACACTAATGCATATCTGTTATTATTTAAGATGAAAGGAGTACACAGTACACACTGTGTTACACTGAAATTGTATTATGTGAATGTTTGTGACCGTGAAGTGCTTTGGTAGGGAATGAACAATATTTTCAGGGAAAAGGATATTGTGTTAATATAAAATATGTTATATTTTACCAAGTACAAGTATTATGTGATCTGCTTTGTTGTTGTTTAATATTAATTGTGATTTGTGGTCTGTGTTGAAGAAAGATTTGCCCTATATTATCAAACTACATCATATTATTTAATTCTATATTTACTGTGAAGTAATCACTGAGTTTTCAAGCAGTGTTATATGTGAATAAGCAAGCATTATGTGTAAAATGAAAATGCTATTTGTTTCATTTTAGTCTGATTTGGAGATGCAGGTGTTTGAAAAACTTACAGCGATGCTGAAAGTAATGGAGAAGAAAACAGGGAAGGAGCTGGATATGGATGTAAACAGAGTTAATGAACTGATTAAAGTAAGCTACTAAATTTAAGGGAAAACATACCTGAATAAAAGCATGTTTATCAATTTAGTTTTTATGTTGAAATTTTGACTCTTTAAAATGATCTGAAAATTTTATGTTATTTTTTACATTGATCAGAAAGAGAAGCATAACAACACCCGACACATTGAGGACATAGATCACACTTTTGTTTTACACACAAGTTTCAGTAATGTGTATGTCATTACAGTATTGTGTTGTGACAAGCATTAAAGTTTGTCGTGAATGGTTAGTCTTTTTTTCATGTACTGACCACTTGTAGATTGTGGTAACTCTTTATATAGATCTGATATTTCCATTCTTGCTGGCATGTAAGAATGAAATAATGTAGTCGAGCTGCAGCCAAACCACTTTATTCTAAGTTGTTGTATAGATAAAATGAGATTGTGAAGACATTATTGAATTACTCCCAGGAAGTGATTATATCTTTTTGAAGATTTCTGTCTTCTGGGTTGTTGCGCTGTGTAGACTGGTCGATGTTAACCAACGTTTCAGAGGTCATACTGCCTCCGTCATCAGGGTGACAGAAATCTTCATACTCACTGCTGTTAAAACCTCAAATCTTATATATATCTTTTTGGGTTATGTTTCAGTAACAGTGACAACAAACTGTTGATGGTGAAAATATAATTATTATTAAATGTTCCCTGAACATTCCTGTGTGTTCTGCTATTTCTTTCACCAAGTGTATAGGTAGTTTAGGAATTGTGACTTTTGTTTATGAATGTCATTATTATGCAAATGGTTTGCATCCTTAATAAGAGGTGCACCCCCAGTTTGTCATAGTGTTTATTTTTCTTTTAATAAAAATGCTACTAAAGATCATAAAATAACATTAGAGTAATGAGGCTTGCCCCACTACACAAATCTACACGAGCATGCACAAACACCCGTGAAACTGCAATAGTGTGACAAATTAATAAAACATACAATACTGTATTTACAATTACTACTGTGCGTCACTGTTAATATCGCTACTGTCTGATTTGATCTCATATCATCAGTGTCCCAAAGTACAGGGCTTTACTTTTCAAATGCCAACAATTTTTTCTTCATATGCATTATATAATCTTGTGGCAGTACTTATTTGCAGTCTTACATGGAAACTGTTTCATTTAAAATATATCTGTAGTGAAGCTCTGCTCATTTTGAAGCTGTGGATTCATTCATGATATCAGATGCCTTCAATTTATACATGCCACATGACACCTCTCATTTACATATGAAGAAAACTTTCTTCTCTCACTGGAAATTTTGTGCTCTTTGCCCACGAAAACCTCATTGGTGCTGGTCATGTCTATCTTGTAGCTGGTGCAACTTTCACTCACTTCAGAGTTTTGGACCATGGCATGATTCCCTGTTCATACTACTTGTCATAAAACCTTCAGTTTCTCATGAATGTATTCATAGTATTAAACTTAGCATCTTACAGAAGGGTGACAGTGGGGGAGGGAGGTTAGTATGACATGATCTGTGAATGCTGTGCACCATACCATCATCAGTGGTGGGATGTCTCCAGCCACCCTGCCATTTACTGATGGGGACAGCAGGGACACCACCAGTGGCCCTAGCTGTACATGTTCTAGCCAAGCCCTCATCTTCCTTTAGGAGAGGCTTCCGTCCAGTGGAGCCATACAGTTGTTGTAAGTCTTCATGGACCACTGCTGTGTCCCATTCTAACAGTTGTTTAACATCCTTCATAGATATTCTGTGAGCATCTAGGGAAATACTGTCATCCTCTGCAGAGCCCTGCATGTGGGGTGAAGGCAGAATACAATGTGAAGTCACCTGGTATCCAGAGGGTACCAATCACATCACAGCGTCAGGCTTCAGCATGGTAGTTCAGACCTTATCTTCGAGTACTGTTGCTCTTTGTCAGCCAGGCTAGCCTGGTGCTTCTAGGAACTGCCAGTAGAGATGGGTGGGGTGAATTGATCCCCACTGTACATTAGACCACAATGTTGGCATTCTACTGTCTGCAATGAAGAAGTGCTTTGGGATTAAAATTTGTGATGAAAATGTGATTTCAAAATTGCAGCTGCTTCTGTTGATGCTTTGAAGGTCGAAGCAAGGTGAGGTTGGCACTGAGAATAGTAGAAACCAACTATATGAAACATGAGTTCTTCTTGAAAAACTGATTGTCATGCAGCTAGCTAAGAAATTTATATGCCCATTGCAGAACCTGAAGGTTTATTACTGGTTCACAAGACACCTCACTGGACCCTGTAATGAGCTTGTTTCTTTATGATCTGTCTTAATATTATCCCATGTGATGTTTTCAAAGTGAATTGTTTCTCACTGTTTAACTGATATGCATATCACTAACAGGAAAAAGTTAGTAAATTTCTGAATTTATGTATGCCAACTAAAGAAGGGAAATGTGTCCAGAATAAACAGTCCCTGTTTCAGGGAAAACCATCAGAATGTATTCTTATCAGAAAACTGGAAAAATCCAGAATTTATGGCTGTGAGAACCTAGAGGAAATGTTACATCAGAAGTTTACAACCATGGATCTGAATGAGTTAGTTAACTGATCTTTATATACTTTAATTTTTGAACAACTGAAAAGAAGTTTATCCATATACATTTTCCTTAAACAATTTCACACGCTTGTTCATCATGTTATTGCTAAAAATTGTTTATAGGTGCATTGAATATTCTTTTATAATGATGTACATATTACTGGAGTGTCTGCTTACAGTTCACATGTAATTCATTTTAGACACTGCAACATTAATAGTATAGTATTGATTTGGGTGTTAAAGGGGTTTGGTACTGGCATCTGCATGTGTCTATTTGAATGTTGAGGTCTTTTTCATAAAACCATTGAGAAATAAATCTGCACGCTCCATTTTGTGATATTTGGGCTCTCACAGTGGTGAGTGTGCAGAAGACAGTCATCTGATTGCTCCATATTTTGCAATGTTGTTCAGTTACATGGCTTTCAATAGTGACTTGTGATATTCCTGGACTACAGATACTGTTTCTTTTCTTTTACATCTTTAATTTTCTGTCTGGTTGTGGAAAGTAGCTTCAAGTACCACTAATCTTGTCAACCATTTATTTTCCAGTACCTGTTGATGATTTTGTTTATAGTGGATAATCATGGGAATAATTATAGCTTTCCATGGACTGTGGCCTACTACATTAAGGGCAGGATCTATTATGTGCTTTAGGAATTCTACTTATATGTTTCTGGACAAGGGGTCTTGTGCATTTATGTCTTCTTAATTGTTGCTGTAAACTTATTAATTGTAAATTTATTATAGAATATTCATTTGGCTACCAGATATTTTCTGTTGGCTTGGAATCTTTGGGTCTGTCTCGCTTTTGAAACTGTTATGTTGTTTTGAACATAGTTTTTAATATAGTTAGTAAGGTATTTGTACCTAATAGACTGTTCTTTGAACATTATGTATGTTTGTTCTGCTACATGTGTTTGTATTTGTTGTAGTTTATTGTGCACTTGAATTTGCTGACATTCACTGTCCCCCAATTTCTTGGATGTCTTACTTGCTTTTGTCTCTCTTCTTGTTATAACATATTAAAGGGTCACCTTATATTTTCTGTATTGAAGTCTTGGTGTTTTACTTGTTAAACAGTGCATGTAATGTTCTGTTATTGTATGGACACTTGTGCATTATTGTGTTTACATTTATAATCTGTTAAAGAGAAAGTCCATGTTCCTTTTGCCAATCATAGTTAACCCTTGATTCATTCTAGGGAAATATACAGAGGAGCAAAGTAATCAAGGATCAGATGCAGGAGGCCAAGAGCCAAGTTATGAAGATCTTCGATCATAAGAGTCACGTGACAGACATTATCAGTCGTTGTGCAAACAAACGTTCACTCAAGAAGCGTGACAAGTCATAGTTTTCACTTTCCACTGCTATTATTTTATCTATGAGGGTCAGGCCAGCAGTTAAATTGTACATATACAATTATTTTTGAGCCTGAGAATGTTGTTGAAAGAAAATAAATATCTTTATTTAGGACAGTAATTGTGATAAGTCCTTTTTAGCAGGCTCGGAATTTCAAGAAATGGTATGTAAAAACAGAAATTGTTGATTGGTTCTGCACCGGACAGCCAGATATACAAATCTGTACCACAAATTATGAACACAAACTACAGTATAGTTTGTTTTTAGTACAATTTTAGTACAGCCAGTTTTACATTTCTTTAATGTGAAAACTTAGCACAATGATTTTTATATTATAGTCTTAGTAGAATATACTACATATGTATTTGTAGAAAAATGTGAAATAGGATTAAGCACATGACAGTACAAGGAATAAATTTCCAGCTGAAAAATAACATGTTTAATATCCTCGGTGTATTTGTTACACCTGTATTTTTACTAATTGTTGCTGTTGCTGTTTTAAAACTATTTATAGCTTCTCATATATTATAAAAACTGTATGCCTGAATACATGCTTTAGGACTCTTTGTATAGGGAGATGAATTAGTATACCATCAAATATTTACATATGTCTTGTTTTAACTATACTGATGCAGTCAAAAATAAATTTTATATTAACTGGGGAACATGCTAACAAAAATTATTGTGTAAAATACGTGCTTTATTGAAGAATATGTGAAAGAATTTCTGCAGTATATTTACTTGTTCATGATATAAAAACACTCTTATTTTCTCCATAATTTTTCAGATGCCTTCATCTGTGCAGACAATGTTGGTTTGATTTTGTAGGTGTTGCAGCATAATATCCCAGCATCTTTATTGTAGCCCATAATGCCTGCAGGTTTTCTTTGGTGGTGATTTCCCTTGGGTACCAGCACTTCAGAATAATTTCATGCCCACCTTTAATAAATAATTTTTGTCTCATTGTTTCACTTAGCTAAAATTGCTTGTCAGACATTACAAACCAGAGTGTGGGACAATATTAGCACAACTATTTTGCTGTACAGTAGAGTCCCAATTACCCAAACTTTGGTTATCTGACATTCCATTTTATCTGACCAGCTGTGTGTCAGAATGCTTTATTTTATCAAGTTAACTCTGCATATAGCAGAATTGATCACACTTCCCCACCGTGCGCCTTCTGCGTTTTATGTACTAAGTTGCTACAGATGTAATGCTGTTCAGCTGCTGGCATGAGCTTGCCATGAGAGAAAGAAGGAGGCTCAGAATGAAATACCCATTGCTAATTTATTAAAAAAATAAACATTTCATTTACAAATTTACATTATATTAAATACTTTTGTTTGTGAATTTTTTTCATTTGATTCCTTTATTTATTTATTTTTTGTAGTGAAATAATATCAAATAGTTATAAATTTGAATTGATATTTACCCTCATGTTTTTCATTAGTCTTCTGTATTATCTAACATGTTCAATTATCAGCCTGTGCTTAGGTCTTGTTTGGTTCAGGTGCTGTACTGTAGTTACATAGCTAATATCTTCCTACTTTTACTTTTGTATTCATCATCATCACACTGTACATAGATGTGTTGTAGGTTTTGTTATGGGTTGACACTGGCTGTTCCACCTGTCTCTTACATGTAGTGTTTCTAGGTTTTGTAATTCCTATTTTCCTTTCCTAAAGAGGTTTTGGAGTGAGTGCTGTAGTAACTGTATGTGGGACACTTTTGCTGTTTGGTACTTGGAAAGAATGAATGATATTACAATGAAAATTATTAATGGATATCTTTCTTGTTCTTATTTCATTTAATGATACATTCTCAAGTGCATGATGTCCTATGGCATTAAATGATTGAGGAAATGAGAGGGATCATATATTATTTAATAGTGCAGAATTTAATTAGCAGCTGCAATATTTGCTGAAAACATTCATTGTGGCTTATTCCTGAAATCTGAAGTACAGAATGTGTACAATGTTTTATTTGGAAAACCTGAAAGGGAGAGACCACGTAGGAGTTATAGGCATAGATGGAAGAACCTGTGTAACATTACATAACATGCGAAGTTGTCGTGGGTGAGGTTGTTAGGCTCCTGCATAAGCCCTAAGTTGGAGGACCAGCCTTTGTTGGCTGTCTGCAGTTGCACTTGTGATTAATATGTTCAATTGCAGATGGTTAGCTTCGCCTTCATTGGAATACAGAGACCAAATAATTATATCTGATATTGATTAGTAATTAACATCACTAGTACTTGCCCATAAATGTCTACAACCTGTTGCAGTCTGCATAAGAAATTGCAGTGACATTGAATTCATCATCTGTTGTGGCACAGGCATAGATGGGAGGTAGTATTAAAATATATCTTACAGAAATAGGTTTGAGGATCTGAACTGGATTCAGCTGTCTCAGGATAAGTTCCAATGGTGAGTTGTGAACATAGTAATGGACCTTCAGGTTCCACAAAAAGCAGGGAATTTGTTGAACAGTTGAGTCACTATCAGTTTATAAAGAAGGACTCTGCTCAATGGAATTAGTGTTATCAAACTTTTATTTTAAGTAATATTATTTATGCATTCCTTAAATGTATGTTAATACCTCCTACAAGGGAACGGTACTTCAACAGATCATTAATCTGTTGACAGTCCTGTTAAATTAACTTATTTTTAAAATAAGTTACATTTAATTCTAGAGGTAAAATTTAATCCTTTAATTTCAGTTATTTTTTACACAGTTTTCCTCTATATCATTACTAAAACAACTGGATATTTTTATAATATTTGATAAAGAGGGCAGAAATTCAGAAATGTTTCAATAGTACGCCCAAATCTTACAGTTTCTACTCAGTTTGGAGTATAAAGGAAAAGGAATTTCCATGCTATTTTAGGTGAAGAAATGTACCTATTTCACCATGGCTGTGTCTTTCCATGTGTAATAACTCGAGAACTGCTGAAAAGATTTTTATCAAATGTGTCTACACATTTCAGTTTGGTTAAAATTGGAAAGCAATGCTAGGCACATTACATGAAGATCCATATCTTTTTCTGTGGAAAAAAAATCTGAATTCATTACTCTTGAAGGGTCTGTTATCAACACTGAATGACACAATGCAGCTCCCCCCTTTTTATGCATTATTTTTATTGTAAGATGCCCATAAAGTAGTTCTATGATGTCATAAGTAGTTTAGAAATGAGTTTAGTGAGATTCTGAAAATATTTATTCTGTGTATGTCCATGACACTTGCATTATTTCTTTCATGTGAATTTGATGATGGGAATTAATATTGTCCTCTGGTAGATCTGGCTGTCTGGTATAGATTTAGTTGGTGAATAAAAGTTCACCTGCAGTAATAATTTGCAAGTCTCTTCATGTTCAAGTTATAAAGTGGATTTCTAATTTAAAAAGCTCATAGTACTTCCATATGTATGGGAAGGACAATATAGTTGTTAGGAGGTTGAAAACAGGGTAAATTGGATGTGTTTGATGTTGCCACATTTTTATTGATGTCAGTCTTACATATGCAGTAATGTCACATATTACATATCACATACATGGTGCAAAATGAAACCTGCATAAAGAAAAAATACATTATAAACCTAAGTATATGTTCAGTGAGAAAGTTTTCGTAAAGTCTTGATAGATGACATGCCCTCATAACCAGTAACACATAATATCACTTTTACATTTGTAGATATGGGAGCCAAGAATCTCTCGCTCAGAGACCATAGCTGATTATCCTGCACAAACATTCTGAGGTACACATTGTTATAAGCTTAACAGAAGAAAGGTGAATCATTTAAAACATGAATTGTGTCAAAAAGTGTATATAATTGTGGTACATGATTTGAGGTTCTTGGGGCAGTGAGTATGAAGATGTTTTCTTCTGGGTTGTAGTGTGGTAGAAGTTTACTTATTGCCCTGATGATGGAGGAAGCAAGGACCTCTGAAATGTTGGTGGAGTTTATCAGACTACATTGCACTAGAACCCAGAAGACAGCCATCTTAGTTGTGATACATGTTTTATTTTGCACCGTTCAGACTTGTTCCTCTGTTGTGTGGTACATATCACTGCAAATATATTGAACTGATAGTCACCGTTTTCTTGAAGTTGATGTGTGTGTGTGTGTCCAGGTCTCATTTGTATGTGTTTTTCAACACTGCAGAGATAATTCTACTGCTTGTGTTCTTTCTTTCTTTTCTACTCTCTGCCAATACTCTGCATCTTTCCTAGATATTTGTGGAGATGAATCAGTGCTACTGTACGCGACTTACATAAATACTTGTGATATAGGTGGCCTGGTAGGCAGTTGATGTACATATGCCTAAATCCCCTATTTCTGAGTGGAGAACATTGGTCTTTAGTACAAATATATTTTTCGCACATCTTTGCTGCTTTCTGCCGCTCCACTGTTTATAGTATCATTGTTCATTAATTTGATTTGTCATTACTGACTGCTTTATAACTTTCAGTGTTACAATGTATTATCAGTAAAGTTTACATTAAATTAGAACAAATAGGACATTTTTCGGTCACAATCATCGCAGGAACTTGCTTAGATCTTGTGTGCAGTAGTTTAATGACTTAGGTCTAGTCCCAGTGCAAATCATTAATTGTTTGATAATGGTAATAATGTTTAACATAAATGAAAAGCGGTTTCTAATGGTTGTTTTTATTTGTTTCATATTGTTATTTTTATTTGTTTTATAATGTAATTATGACTGCACAATGTTATGATTGATATTTGTATTCAGTGTTGTGACAGCTCAATCATCCAGCCCTCTTACATATTGTTGGAAATGTAAGTAACCCCTTTTATGGATACAGATTCATAATTACTTTCTGTCATATTGTTGGAAGCTTAAAAGTGTTCCATTGTTTACTTCATTCTGCAGCTTTCTTGGGATATAATTCATAATGCATAATATATATTGGATTTGTGGTTTAGGCACCAGGTATAAAGGTTCACTTGTGTGTATTCTCATTTCTTCAGGATCCTTCTGTATCTTAATTTTGTGTTTTTATTAATATTTTATCAATGCAGGGTGTGTTGCATGAAGGAGATCACAGCACAGATTTTTTAAATTACAAGTAACTTTCATGTTTGTGTGGTTTTTACCACATTTGTCATTGGCTTAATAAAACACCATTTAGTTTTCACCTATGAAAACCTTGAATATAGTGCATGCTTGTTTACTTTCAAAGTTATGATAAAATAGTTTACTTTGACAGATATATGAATACATTAATTTGCAGCTTTAAAAGCAGCAGTATACATATGATTTTGATAGATGAAATTAGCTGCTTTAAGCTTCCAACAGTTGTTATCATACCTATCTTCTATCTGTACAAGGATTTAGTGGAATACTTTTAATAATTAACTTCTATGTTGGTTGATCAATTCTTAAGTTGTTTTATGATGTTTTGAGTGCATGGGTTTATAGTGGTAAATGAAATGGAAATATGATTGTGTAGGTGAGTAAGGAAGGAGGTGGTCATGGTCTGTTTGAAAGCAGTATCCCATCATTGACTTGGAGGTAGTGAGTAAAACCTTGAAAACCCTGTCAAAGAGCCCAGCTGAGATTTAAATTGTGTGCATCCCAAATATGGGCCTTGGGTGGTACTTCTACTCCAACTTGCATGGTAACAGTAGCTGGAGAACTGAAGAAATTGTGTTTTGCAGTATAACTTACCAAATGTGTTGTGACAGCTAAAGATTCTCATTCAAAACTCTGTTTCATGCATGTAAATATTTTATGTTTTCCAGCACATTTCCTTTAAATAACCCAGAGAAGTGGAAAAGTATAATGAAAGAATGTGGAAAGAATTGCCCTAGGAGGTAATCAGATTTTTAATTATGTTAAAAAGTGGAGAAAGGAAATGGATTTCTTGTACAGACTAGCATTTATATAAAAAGTTTGTTATGGATAGAAACAGAAAGTTGTCATTCTGAGAATGCTGATGTATCATTGATCATCAACATTCAGAGACAGAGCATTAGCTTTCCTTAATGTAACAAAGTTGGAAATGTGCAATTCATGCCAGAACATAAAGAGTTTCTTAGTGCATTCTTTGCAGCTTGGCATTCTGAAAGTTCCTACATGCTCCACACAGCTTTCATGAAAGTGTTAACAATATTAAATCTAACTTTGGTTGTAATGTTTATAGAGCTCCCTTTGATTAATCTTAGGATGCTTTTAATTCATTGATATCATTTTAAAACTGAAACTGTTTATATAGTCATCCTTTGACTAGAATTTGCCTAATTAATGATATTGCTGATGACATGGAAGTAATAAGAATAGGCTTCAGATGATTCTAAACAAAAGCATGTGTTCTAAATGTGAGAGAAGATTTATTCTTGAACTTTTATCATCTGATTCACAAAAGAATTCTGAAGCACATTACAGTCTAATTTACAGCTCTAATGCTTCATTTGTTTATTAAAAACTGTGTTGAGGCTAGCATAGTTTAGGGGGCCTTTACTTCATGTTTCTATTTTACATTAAAACATATTCAGATCCAGGTAAAATGAAGGTTATTTTGAAAGAGAACTAACATACCTTGAAAATTGTTAGTCAAGACATTCAGTACTATTTATAGATTACTATGTAGAACACAATGACTTGTTCTAGACATGGTGTCCTTTAGTATATGCAATTTGATGACTTAATTTGTATTACCTTCCAGAAGTAATCTGACATAGCAGGATAGAAAGGGATGAGATAAATCAAAAGAACTTTTAATATTCAAGGACCTAAATAAATGTAAACACATGAAGAGTTGTACATTTGTCATTTAGAAATTGAACTTGATATTTAGTTAGAGCCCATATTTTAAATGCAGCTATTACTGAAGATATTTATAATACTAATGGTCTGTTTTAATGATTCTTATAACTACAGTTTAATTCTGTACTGGTACAAAACACTTAAGAAATTTACAGCATGAAAAAGATATGTTGCAGATTTAGCATTCTGAATATATGTTCCATATTAGAGGAAATATCTTCATTATTTAAGGGTAGTGCATATACAAATTATTTTTCATGAGCATCAGAGAACTTCAGCATCTCCCTCAGATATAAGTTTAAATTAACTGTAACCCTGGAACCAGTTTTAGTATAACTGTATTTTGCTAAAAAAATTTATTTTGCAGTTATTTTAGCCATTGATTTGAATTGTAATAAAATAATTCTGGAAATTCTCTTATCATTTTAACTTGGGATGCAAATGGTTTGAATTGTGATTATTGCCATAAGTGTTACATTCTTACCATTTCATATAATTTTGTAAATACCATCCCTTTACCCCTGAGAAAATACAAAATTTCATTAAGTGAGTGTTAATGGATTATAGTTACACAGTATATTCTCATTGTTGTGTGTCTGATTCAGTATTGAAAATTGTGTAGCGTTTACCCTCCCAATATATTTACCTTTTTATACCT